CACAGTGCCTCAGCATTACATGTAGTGCACTGTAGATCCGAAGTGTGGACCTGAGATCTATTGGAGTCTTAATGTGGGGCACCTGTGGCATACAGGTGCTTGTTAAAGTGAAAGAAGCTGCAGCAAAGGCAAAATAATGACCGGAACAAAACTACTGAAACTGCATTACACAAAAATACTTCTGCAAGGTTATTTGTCCACCTATGTGCCCAAGCTGGGACTGATGCCATCCTTGTTTTTGAATCTTGTAGCCCAGGATTACTGTTGCAAAGATTATGTAATCTTTGTCATTTTCCCTTTAAAATTTTCCCATTTCCTCAGCCTCTCTGAATATGTCCACATATATATCAATTATACTGCTCTGCTAGTCTTGAACAAACACATTATTTTTGGAGAATCTCTATTTATTGGATAGATTGACATAAATAACAAATGCTCATGTATGAGCAAGGAAAGGGTCATGAGTAGAAGTGGGAACCACCTATGTGTAAGGCAGGCTTCTAAGAAAAAGATCTCTTGAAAACTTCTTCAATGCAACAAAGAGGCAGAGGAACCCTGTTGGCATCTAAGAGATGCAAGAGTTTATAAAGCAGGCAGAGAGCTTCAAGACTGTCAAATGTAGCCGGAGATCAAGTACATCATGGATTTTAGCAATATGGAGTTGGCTGGTGACCTTCGTGAGGGTTCCTTAAGTCAAGGGACGGCAGTAGACTGCAGAGGGTTGATGTGGAGACCCAGAGATGCAGGGGAATGGCCTACTCTTCCAAAATGCTTGGTAGTGAAAAGGGAGAGGAGAAGAGGCCCTTGGCTAGAAGAGAGGGTAACATGGTCCACTAGAAACAAACTTGATCCTACTTACAAAGAAAAAAATATTCTACAAGCTAGGTAACTGAAATGTGCAGGGATTTAAATCCATGTTAAAGAGAATGAGACAAAGCTATGGATTGTTTTTCTGCTTCCTATCATCATGTCTGAACAGTCAGATAAGAATTCTTGCTAAATGTGGAGACAAAGTTTTAGACCTGTGACAATATTATTTTATTATTGATATTATTTATACAAGGAAGAGCTAAATTTAGTATGGAATTATGATTCCAAAATTTAGAGCCTGATATACTCAAGGGTCCAGATGTAGGAACCCCCACCCTGAAAAATAAAAACAACCCATATAACAGTAGTGGCTAGAGGAAAAACTAGCTTGACATACTGCAAACATTATTCTTCTTAATTATTCTACAAAGGACAATGAAATAAGGGACTGTATTTGAAAACTAAAAATGCTGAGGATAATCTATAGAATTCCAAAGGATAGTTTTATTTTCTTCTAAAAACCACACATACAACTACTCATCATTTGTGTTTTTATTTTATCAAACCTCTGAGAGAATTCAGATATAGACATCTTATCATTGGCATCATTAACTCAAGATTAGAATAGTATGCTCAGGTTTATGGCCCTGGGCTGTAATAATAACATTCTCAAGGTAGATTACCAGATATTGCATAATAATTGTGACATCTAGTCTTTAAGGGGTAAGAAAATTTGCATCTGAGTATAAACATTTTTACAGAATTTAATTATCTCCCTTGGGGGGCTAAAGGAAGAAAGCCCTGGAACCCAGGATTAAGTTCTCTTATCTAGCCTTTGGACATAAAGATCATATTCAGAGATAGAAGACCTATATAACTGCCCCTCCAAAAACTTTTTTCACAAATCAAAGAACAAGAGGAAAATGCACAAGAAAGAAAATCAAAGCTATGAACAAAACGGGATTGAGAAATAGCACTATTTTAGGCTGCTCTCAACAGGAGGGATCCAAGTGCCTTAGCTAAGGTAAAAGCTCATCCCTTGCATGCTAGAAATTTCCTGGACTATTCCATTGACTAAAAGCTCTTCATTGTTTTTGAGTAACTGGAATTTAAAAAAATAACTTTCCTTCAATAGATATTTGTGCTTGTATCTTGTAGATGAGAAGCATTGTTGGCTTTGCTGTTTATTATTATTTTTACTTTCTTGCAGGGCTGGGGATTGAACCTACTGTCTACAGGCTTGCTAAGCAAGTATTATTCCTGTGAGCTATACTCCCAGCCCCGCTGAACAGTTTCTGGGCCAAGGGTCACTAGCCTGGAAATGATTCCTTCATTCCCAAATATTTTGTCTTTTTTTTTTTTTAATCTGCAAAAGCAGTATTTCTACTGTCTGTCAAGACTTGAACACTTAAGTTTACTTTTTCAAACATGGAATGAAGCATGTGCATCTGAGGGACCGGGACACAGAGCTCACTTCCAATGTAAGGACTACTGCCCTGGCTGGAACAAGTGGGCCCATAGATAGAGGACTCTCGAGGTTAGTTCAACTCCTACTTGCAAGGCCAGGTGACTTACTTAGGTATTTGAAAGTAACACAACCCTGGAAAGTGACTGACTATTCATAGACCGTTTTTCTACAAGTTCAGGTACCTAAATTTTTTTTTTTTAATTTTATTGAGTTTATTGGTACATTTTAGGGATACAGTACAGTTACATTCATTGTTGGGATCATGTACCTCTACATGACAAGTCTTGATTCTCATTTTTTCCCCTTACCTCTGCCCTCCCTTCACCCCCTCCTCCCCTCCCCATCTACAAACACTTTATTTTCATCTTTTCATTCTCTCACATTTTTTTCTTTTCCCTTTTTGTTCTTCCCCTACGCATCACACCTTCCCTACACCTTTAGCTCTTTTCTTCAAATTTCTAAATGTCAGTAATCTTATTAGAACCTTATGCATTGTTGCAGAATATTCACACCAGGGAAACTAAAATTTATGCCTTCTAGTACCTGTCATTTTTGAACTTGTAAGTGAAAGCTCGTTTTAAGTACAAAGGAAAAAACACCCTATGCAGTGAGAAAAACTTGACACAAGAATTTCTCAGAAAGAACTCTGTGAATTTTCATAAATTCTTTGAAGTTATTCTTGAATGAATGACTTCATTGTCCAAGGACCTTAAATAAGGAGTTGGAATTTCCTACTCTTTGCTACACTGTAGGATCACACGCAGTTTTCAAAGTAATTGGCGTATTATGGGATCACAGTGCCACAAGGCAGAGATTTTATATAGGTTCTCCTCATTAACTAAGGTTTTAGGTGTCTTTGTTTTGATGTAAATTCTTCTGGTTAGTGGTGTTGGTTAAGGTTGGTGCAGCCAACATGAGGTACCGCATGTCTGGACAGAGACAAGCTTATTCTGTGTGGGGGACACTGTTTCTGATTACTGCTCTATCTCTTCTTGAGCTGGAAAACAATTTCTGAGCAAAAAAAAAAGGGTTTTCCTTCGGCTAGTCGACCTAGCTGACAAGGAGCCACCCCCAGCTCACACCCCCTCCCATGTGTAACACATGTCCTCCTTTATTATCCTTCGTTCTCAGGAAGTGTCTGTATCCCGTGTACCTTTCTATCTAATCATGTAAATTCAGTGTAACTTCCTCAGCCGATGAACTGATGATAAATGCCTTGAACTGATGATGAATGCCTTGTTTCTGTATCCCCACCCCTTCCCTTAACCCATATAAACCCTGTTCACTCCCAGCTCCAGGCTGATTGCTTTGTGAGAAATCACCAATAAGTTTGCCAGGGTAATAAACTTGCCTCCAACCTCCGGGTACGTTCTCGATTCTTCTTGGCCTGATCTTGCTATACCACTAAGAGCTGCCACACTGTGGACTATAAGCCTGCCATTGCATTCTCATAGACAGAGTTCCTTTTTGTAGAGGTGCTCACCGTCTTGGCTCTGTGCTCAGGATTTAAAATGATCCATCCTACCAAGGCAGATGGGGGCAGATGTGTGGATAATGGACATCCATCTATAGGAGCCAGTCATGGTAATTCACCTTCCTTGTCCCTAATGGGTTTGTAAGAAAATTCACCTTCTAAAGGACAGCGGGCCTCTTCTTTGGAGTGGAGTGCTAATCCTTTAACTCCCTAACAGAAGTCCAAGAATAATATCAACCACGCTGTTTCACACGATCTTCTCATAGATCCTTCTTGTTCACTCTTCAAAGTCTGACTTAGTATATGATGAGCCCAGGCATGGAACACCTTGGGAAAATCCCTACTCTAGGCTCTTCTGGAAAAACTCAAACAAAGGGAAGAATGGCAGTCATCAATCTGAGCCAGAAGACCTGAGCATTATGTGATAACAGAGCCCTTACCAACTGGTTCCTTCTTTTATTTTTGGTGTCTTTATAGCTATTGGTCTAGAATCCTACACAGAATCCCTTCCACCAAAGAAAATGTTGGAGTTAATTGATTTGGTTGTCTATTTTAGTTCTGAGAAACTTTTGACTAAGTGCAAGTAACCTTTACCAACTCTTTTTAATATTCATAAAAATTACTTGATTTGGAACATCTTTGTGGTTTCTTTCAGTTTTATGAACAGAAATGTATTGTTATGTGTAGTAGAAATATGTTAGTGTCGCCCTGTAATTTCACACATATACATGCAGTTTTCTGTTTCTAACTTTACTGCCTGCCCACCTCTTTGTCTTAAACGTTATAATGAGCCCATTCATTCATAATTTTACTTGGTTTCATGATGGTTTTCAAGGAGAGTTAGTGCAGCTGCTTTCCCGGGTAAAAAGAGGGGCGGCGGGAGATGGCTAAGCAGGAAACACAAAACTATATTTTTAAACCCAGCAAACCCTGCCTTTTAGAGAAATGTTTAGGATCAGGAAGTCTCGAGCCCTTCAGAACTGGAGCTGACCAGGCCTTCTGTCCTTTGATATAAAGATATCTTAATGACGAAACAGATGCTTGCTAAGGAAAAAAAAATTAGTGTGGATATAATTTTTCAGGTGCGGTGGTTGCCTGATTGCACAATCATCAATTTTCTCACAATCGGAGAGAAAGAGGCATCCATCGTGGTGTGAATAGGAATGTGGGTGGGAGCTACGGGGTGGGGCCAAGAGGAAGGAGACCTCCCGGGCCGACTCCGTGTCGTCCAAGGGGCGAGGAACCTACCTTCGTTCCCAAGTCTTGTTCCTGACGATCACTCTTCTGGGGCAGGGGTCGATCGGCCACTAGAGGCTGCGGGTTCTGCGCTCTCCGGGACTGCAGGAGAAGCGCAATTTCGCATCTGTAAGACCAGAGACTACTGCACCCGGGTAGAGGACTCTACCCTGGCACCCAGATTCGCGTCAGTGCCTACCACTATCTAAGCAGCCAGATCCCCGCTCCCCCCCCAGGCGGTGCCAGACCCCGCCTCCCCTGACCCGACAGGCGGAGTCTTTAAGGCCGCGGTCTCCGCCCTCCTGAGCGCCCCTCCCTCCCC